TTTTAGGATAATCTTTTTTTCTATCAACTTCATCAATAAAATCTTTTAATGTAGAATTACATAATTCCATCTAATAACATTAATATATTAATAATTACTTCAATGTATAATGTAAATAATTAGTATTATTCATCTTTTTAATTTGGATTAAAATGCAATCTACGCATTCGAGATTGAATTTAACTACTAAAATCTGATAAATGAAAACTCTGCACAGTTTTTGATTATTTAGAAATTGTTTAAATTTATTATTCATTTTCTGCATCATTTTCATCACCAACAAATTAAACATAATCATTCATATAAGACATTTCATCCATTAATTAAGGATGATATGAATTTTAAGACTCTTTTGATTAAGCTTATTGTTATTCAGCTACAAGTTAATTTAATTCTTTTATTTCTGCAATTACTTCTGTAGTCTCCTCTTAAATCCAACTAGTATAATATCTAACTATATTTTTGTGATTAATTTCTTAAAGTGATTTTATTTCTCTAAAAATTGAATGATCTCTTAAACTTTTTTCATTTTTAACTTTAAAAAAAATTCTTTTAATAGCATATTCTTAAAGATCAATAACTTTTTGACATTTGTAAACTTCTCCAAATGTCCCTTTACCTATAAGTTTATGAGAAGTGTAGCAATTCTGGAACTTTCCATTTAAACAATATCTACTCCAATCTGTTAGAATGTGTATAATTCTTTCTGGTTTTCCATCTCCATTATCTTATTCTATCATGTGTACACCAATAGCATTTTTTTTATTAAAATCAATAAACTAATGAGTCACAAACTCTAATTATTCATCATCAGCTTTAATTTTGCGAATCACTTTATTTGTTTCTATATATTTTATTGTATTATCATCTTTATTTCTTTCCAATTAAATGATTTTTTCTCTTTATTCAGACATTTAACGCCCTTAAAGTTTGATACCATGATCAGGCAATGCAAGCTAATTATTTTCAGGTTCTTTTTAAATAATCCTAGGTGAGGAATCCGTACTAGATGTTTAGTCTTTTCTTTGCTTTTCATTTTGATCAGTACCAATTCGAATTGAACTAGATCTTTAGTATACACGTAATACTTTTATAATTCATCACTAGTTGCACTCTCTTTTCTAGCTTTAGCAATTAATTAATCCGATTTTTTGCTAAATATCTTGTACATGAAAAAGAATGTCACACAATAGACCAGAAACATTGCTAATAGAAACCATTCAAAATTATCCATTATTAGCTATTTCCATTAATTTATTGGAGGCTAAATGAAAATTTCATGCTTTTAAAACTAAGTATATTCTACTATCTAAGTTCCTGTCTTTATATACTATTAGATTGAACTAATTGATTTCTTCATTATAATTATAAATATTATTGAAACTAAAAGCATTTAAATTGATAATAATAAGTATATTTTCCAACCACATATATAATTTTTGTAATAAATCATCTTAATTTATAATAAGAAATACAATTTATTAAGATTTAAAAAATCAAAAGTCCTTTAACCTATTTTAAATTTTTAAAATATTATTTTTTTTTAGGAAAATAAGAATTGAAAAAATCTTTCTAAATTTAATTCTCCATTATTCCAACATTATTTTAAATTATAAGATTATATAGATATTAATAGTTAGATTTACTTTTTAATAATTATTTAGAATTCTAAACTCTGAAAGTTAGTAATAAAATATTAATTTTTTTATTTTTTATTCAAATTATAATGGCCTATTGTCTAAAAAATAAATAGTAAGTATTTAGTTTATAACCATTAAGTTATTTCTTAAAACTATAAGTAAAGAAATTCTAAATCAAGAATTCAAGCTTAATTTTACACAAAGTAGCTTTTTTTTAAATTAAAGAATATGAAGATTTATGTGAAAAAAATAAATAGAAGAATTATATCTATCTCTTCTTTGAATTGCTAATAAAAATCTTGATTTGTTTTTATAAGTTATGTGTAATAAAAAAGATCTGATAATTACACTTAAAATAAATTATTATTTAAAGCAATATAGGAAATTATATAGATTAAATCATTATTTTTTTGTTTTAAGAATAAAATTTAAGATAATATATTGATAATCTCAAACATAAGTAATAAAAATTGAAATATTGAATCAAATAATAAGATTATTTAAATTATTTTTCAAATTTGTAAATTTTAAGAAATTTAGAAATCCATAGTACTTTTGAAAGATAGTCATATTTATTGGTTAAAAAGTCATCATAAATAATGATATTCATACCTAAAAATTTGATTTAATTTATATTTCCTTATAAATATTGATTATAATTAGATTGATTTAAAATTAATTTACACTTCTTGATACAATTTTATAAATATAAAATAATGTATGATATATATTAGACATTATTAAGCATAAAAATTATTAAAATTTTAAAACTCTCTTCAATTTTCTACTTATTTTTTACTTATAGTAAATACATTAAATAGATTTTAAGAATTTCAGTATAAAAACAAGGAAGAATTATAATTCTATAGTATAAGCATAAAATTTAATATTATATCATCAAAATAACAAATAAATAGTTCAATATATAGAAATGATATGAATAAGTAATTATCGATAGTATTTGAAATATATTTAAATAATTAGATAAATATATCTGTTAAATATTATTCAATCTTATAATACAAATTCATTATATAAATTTTCCACATACTGAAATGTTTCATTTAGAATTTAAACATAAATTTTAGATCCACTTAAAGACCATGAAACAGATGATGGAATCTATTCAAGTAATATGTGTTATTTTAATATATTCCTCTCAAAAATACTGATAGAATTATCACTAACAGCTAACAATCGATCTGTGAAGCTATATGCTAATTATTAGACAGTTAAATTAACTCTATGCACTAATTTGAAATTTTCATAAACTAAAAATTAGATTTAATTAATACAATCTAAACATTATCCTCCTGCAGCTATAGTTGATTTATTTTATGCAAATGCTATTACTTAATATTTTTCTTAATTTAATGGTATTGGTTAATCCCAATTATCTTATTTTTTATTATGAATTAATGCTAATCCAGTTTGATCAATTGATGCAAAAGTGACATCATATGGTGCCCATGATAAATGAATGATAGGATATTGATGAGATTAAAATGTGATAGCTAATTACCAATCATTAGGCTTTCTTTCTGTCCATAATTAAATATTGTTAGCTATTCCAAGTGCAACAATATTTTATTTATGAAATGACCAAGCATAAACTTTAGTATCAGGTAATTTGAACTTTTAATTAGACAAAGTATCAATTACTTGACCATCTGATAATACTTTTTATCCTATTAAATTCATAATTTTAATTAATAATGGGAGCATGTTGTAATACTCAATAAACTATTCAAAGTCTTATGCCTAGTTTTGAATTTTCATTTTTAACTGTTTACACAAAAAATGCTATAATAATCTAGAGAGCATATAGATGTATACTAATACTTATAAAAATAGAGTATTAAAAAAGAAAGAGAAGATCGATAGTACCTATCTCAATAACAAATGATAGTCAAAGAAGTCATTAAGAACATATTGAAAATACAATAATTCATCCATAACCTTCTTAAGAAGGTGTAAAAATGGAATAAATTGAGGAAATGGTTGCTACAGTAGATCATTCTCCTGTAAATGGATTAAAATTAGATAGAAAATAAAGTGATTATCCTGCTAGTATACATTAAATCATTTTTCGGATTGGAAATTTTAATTATAAAGAGTTTTTAAAACAAGAGAGTTAATATTATGATGAAGATGATTTAAATATTCCCTTTTTAGATCCATATTAATTACAAGATGAATCTATATATATTGGATAATGGAAATTAGGTAAAAGACATGGTAAAGGAAGGGCAATATTTAAGGATAAGAGTGTATATGAAGGATTTTGGAAAGATGATAAAATGAATGGTTAAGGAAGGCTTATATTCGAAAATGGAGATTATTATTAGGGGGAATTCAAGGGAAACATGGCAAATGGGTATGGAAAATAAATTACATCCAAAGGATACATATATGAGGGAAACTGGATTAATGATAAATAATAAGGGGAAGGCATTGAGAGATTTCCTGATGGTACAAACTTTAAGGGAAGATTTATTGATGGCATTAAAACAGGATTTGGTGAATTTAATTTCTCAGATGGATCCAAGTATTAGTTCAGCTAAAACAAGGTATAAAGGATCTATTGTTAATAATAAATTTAATGGAAAAGGAACATTTTATTTTTCTGATGGCCGTAAATATGATGGGCAATGGAAAGAAAACTTGATGGATGGTTATGGAACATTCACTTGGCCTGATGGTCGATCTTATGATGGATATGTAATTTATAATAATAATAATAAAAAGTATATTAAAGATAAAAAGCATGGTTTTGGTGACTTTACATATTAAGATGGATCAATGTATAAAGGAAATTGGGTGGATGGAAAAGAACATGGATAAGGAACATTTTACTCTAAGAGTGGTTTATTTAGAGAAGGTGAATGGGAAAATGGAAAAAGAATTAAATGGACATCATCTTACTAAACTTAATGATTATAGATACTTAATTTGATTTTAAATTGAATTTTATATTAATTAATATTGAATATTTGTATATGTATTTTTGGCATTTTTTTAATTAATCATAATGTAAATTTGAATATTCCAAAAGCATATATTTTTAGTTTATTGTTATTAGAATATCATATATAATTCGATTCTTAAAATAATAACGACTTCTATTATTATTGATCATAATATCTAACATGTAATAATGTTGTTTGTGCAATTATATACAAAATGGTATATTCTAATTTAAAATAATACTTTTATTTTCCATATTGAGGAGAACAATTATAATAATGGTTGAAAATTATTGATTAAATGAACTAAAGGTATAAAAAATATATGATACGCTATATTTGGTGATTTTAAAGCGTAAAATATTAAAATGTGGAATATTAATATTTATTTTGAATGAAAAAAATGATACTAGTTATTGCATTGATCTTCATCACTAATGCTGACTTAACTTTCAATACAAAGAATCGATGCTCATGTGGTGATTTAACAATATATTAGGATTGTGCATATGCATACCCAGATTGTTTTTGGGATTTAAATAGTAATACATGTTCAACTGCAACTTGCTCAAATATTACTGATCAAATTAGTTGTTCATAAAATAAGAAATGCATGTGGAATGGAAAATCATGTGTAGAGTTTACACTTTGCAATTAATTATATGGATACAACTAAAGAGAATGCTATTAATAATCAATTAATTGTCCATAATCCAACGGTAAGACTTGTGCAAGCGCAGATGCTTTAAAATCTTGTTCATCATATCAAAATATGGATGATTGCAATTTAGTGGCTTCAAATGATGGAATATGCTATTGGAGTGCCGGTGGATGCTCAGTGATTGCAAGTTGTGATTAATTGAGTTCAAATGATTGTACAGATATTGGAAAGGCCTGTGTGTGGAATACTACAACGAAAGGTTGTTAATAAGCAAGCTGTGCTTAATTTTAAAATAGCTAAAGATGTACTTCTTACTTATCCGAACTTAATGAATAAGTTTATTAATTATGTAGATGGGATCCTGTCAATAATTAGTGTGTTTCTGCTAGTGATACATCTTAACTCACATCAGAAACTTGTTATTTATAAACCAAATATACTTATAGATGGGTAAATAGTACAAACTCATGTGATTCTTGTGAAGGAAAAATAATATACATAGTAATCATGGTTATTTTTATGATTATGATATGATATAAGATAAGATAAAAATTAGAAAATATATTTAATATAATTATATATATAATATATTGTTTTTTAATTAATTTATTTTTTTTATTAAAATGGAATCCATGATAATACCATATAAGAAAAGAATACTTAAAGCCACAACATTATTATTAATTTGCACTTTCATTCTTATTCTGGATATGTTTTTCAAAGAACCCTTATAAGCATTTGAAGTTTAAGCACTTATATCAATATAAAATGGAATGGGTATTAATGGTCATATAATTGAATCTATACCTTTTTTCTTACTTGCAAATATCTAAGAATAATATGTATTTTTATTGATTACAATGCATGTATTAAGTACCATCTATTTTTTACATGATCGCTTTATTGCTATAAAATGTATGTTTATTCTATATTTTGGATGGTACTTTTTAATGCTTTTACAAATGATTTATAATTTGCCATAACCTTTTTGGGTTGATTCTGATATTGATACATATTTTTGTGATTAAAAATATGGTGGCCCTGGAGATTCAATCTACTTACCTGCACTTTTTATATTTACATTACTCTATTATAATCAATGTTAACTTAAAGCATACATAATAGCTTCAGTTTCTATTTTATTCTATTGTTTTGCTGTTTATATTTCAGCTTAAGTTTTTTTGATGGATCTAGTTCTAGGTTTTGTTTATTTTATGCTTTTTTATGCTTTTGTAATAAATTATGATAAAAAAATAACAACATTTATAAAATCAAAAGACAATGATAAACTTTTTGGAATGAAAGTATTAGGAGTAGTGTCTTTTTTATTTATTATAGCACTTATATACTATACATTAAAAGATTATAATGATAATATTGATTGGATTACAAATTATTTTACTTGTTATATGAGATAATTCACTGTTGGAGATTGTAAATTAAAATATATATTTAGATTAACATTATAGATTTAATACAATTTTAGGATTGGAACCTACATTTTGTTAAATAACAATTCTTATTTGTTTAGTAGTTATGGGTTTCATTTAATTGCCAAAAAACAAAGCTAATTAAAAATAATTTATTATTATATAATTAGCATTTATTCCAGGATGGTTAATTATGTTTTTATAAGGTTTTGTTACTGAAATTGATATATTACATAGAATGGGATTGAGTCAATTAATAATAGAATCTTTTATATTTGGATTGATGCATTGGTGGATATTTGGATTTATTGGAAGAAAGGCAACAAATTCAATTGTTACTGATGAATATATGTTATTAGAGTGATATTTTGTTAATTAATTAATTTATATTAATTTTTCTATTAATATTTTTATTATCAATATTATATTGTATATTCATAATTATTTTGATTTCATTAATTTATACAATTAAATATTTCTCTATTTCTATGTATAAGGAAATTACTTTCTAAAGAATATCTACTTCTTAAATGTAAACAGATGAATTAAAAAAAAAGTATATTCTCTAAAAGATTTTAGGCTATGGTCAATATGGGTATATTTTATTATTATTCTTAGAACTGTATATAAAGGTGTAAATTAGCGCACCTAAGAAACAGTTGCTATTAAAGAATTACGCCATAGCAATGCTGATTAAGGGGTTTGATATATTATTTTATACAAGATTAATGTATAAGCCTTAAGAGAAATTGAAATACTTAAATCCATCAGATGTCAACAAATTGTCTCTTTTAAAGATTTAGCATGGGGATAAAATAGAACTTACATAATTATGGAATATATGGAAGAAGATTTATTAACAGCTTTAAGAAGAGATACTTTCTCAGAACAATAATCCAAAATCATCATGTTTTAAGTTCTTTAAGGCTTGGCTTACCTACACAATTAAGGAATTATCCATAGAGATATAAAACGTATATATATACATTACTAATTTTAGCTAACAATATTTTATACAGAAACTTGGAAATTAAAATATGTGATTTGGGAATGGCTCAAAATTTAAATAAACAAAAGCCACAAACAACCCGAATTCAAAATCATTCATACAGGGCTCCAGAAGTGTTCCTTGGTTTATTAAATGACTAATATTAGGTTAAAAATATTGCTCTAAGGTTGATGTTTGGTCTGCAGGAGTGCTATTTATTTAATTGCTCTTTAAAAACAATCCATTTTAAGGATAATCTGAACTCGCAAGTTTTAAATAAATTCTAAAATATTGTGGAACTCCAAACGAAGGTATATTTCTAAATGATAACATAGAAAATTGGATAGGTGTGACTTCCTTCAAAAATTACTCTACTCTCATAAATGGAGATCCACAACCAAGAATACTTTAAAATTTACTTGAAAAAAAAATGTCTCCATTATTAATAAATCTAATTGATTAAATGCTTACTCTTGATCCTTCCAAAAGAATAACTGCTTCAGAGGCTCTTTAACATCCTTATTTTTGTGGAATGAATATTTAAAGGTATTATATGTTAATTTATCCCTATTACACAGATGCCTTAATAAAATTTAGGCAAGCAGAAAAAAGGACAAAAATGAATCATAAACTTAAACAGATGTCTATAATTACCCTAATGGAAACAAAATAATTGTAGTTTCGTAAATCTTACAAAAAAGCAAAAATTGCTTTTGAATACTCATTAATTTTGTTTTCTCTTAAGTCTGTTTATTTAATTATTATAAATTTCTATATGTTTTTCATTAATTTATAATATGAGCAAACTAGAAATTTTTTATTAAACATTGAAACTTAGATTAAAGGATTCTAAAGATTTTAATAAATAAATTAATAAAATAGAGAACTTGTAATTCCTTATTAATAAATAATTATATATTATGATTTTCTCTTATTTAATATAATTATAAACAAATTAATCAATAATTATTTAATTAAATAATGTGTTAAATCAAATAAGTGAATGGAAATGATCTATGTAGAGAATATTATTGTTGTCTAATTGAAATTGCTTAAATTAAAATAATATCAATATATCATTAATATTAGTATGAATTAACGTCTTTTTGATCCTTTAAAATTTCCTTTTCTAATGTTAATTGATCTAGTTTTTCAAAGTCTTCATTATTAAAGCATTTAGTTTTTTTTGTAAAAAGTAATAAGCTAACGTTATAAAACTTTATTATAAATGAATTATAAAATATTAATCTAATACTTATTTAATATTAAATTTTTAATAAGTACAAAAATTTTTAATAATTCTCATATATTAAAAATGATTTAAAGACTTGTATTTAGTGTTTAAAAATAATCGAAAAAATACACTTGAAGATCTTTAATAAACTAGAGTAAGAAGAATATGATGTTTAATAATTTTTATATATTTGTTCGTTTTTTTTCCTAAATATTCAGAGATAAATTGTTTTGTAATTTAAAAATTGATTTATCTTGATTTAAATTTAATTAATTTGCTCTGTTTATTCGGATTATCATTAACATTAAAATAAGTAGGAAAAAAAAAATTATTTTGATTTTTCTAAACTAACTGAAAGCAAAATTTTTATTTGAAGGAATTAGCTCCTCATTTAATATGATTATAGTAAGTCATAACAATGTTGATAATTTATTATATAATTTATTTCATATAGGTTTCTTAGGATAAAGATCTATTAAGTTAGTTCAACATCTTTTTAAGAAAAAGTCATTTGTATTTTGTTTTAGTTTAGCAATCATTATCCAATAAAGTGAGGAAATGTTTCTATTCTACATAATCAAGCTAATTAAAAGGAAATAAATGAGAATACACAGTTATGCAACTATTATTTTGAAATATAAGGATAAAAATTTATTACTCGATGCATTATATTATATATATATTATGATCAATTATTCTCCAAAGGGAAGCTTGCATAAATATCACTAAATGCTTAGGATAAATTGCCAATAAAATTTGACAACAAGTCTTCTGCTTCTGGAAATAAATTTAGTTAAATTAGTTCATCAAACATGAATGCAGAGGATTCTTAACCTATGATTGGAATCAATTCTTCAGATTATGGGTTCAGATATTAATATTAACTATGAAATGATTAATTAAATGTTATACTTTCCAAGAACTTGATCCCATTTAAATCTTAATGATTTATAATATCTATTTTTTAACATGTTAGTTGTTTTTCCTGGGAAGTATCTTGAAAACTTATAAAACTTAGGTCCCTTCTTTAAAATGTAGTTCAACAATCTTTGATCTTCTTCTAATGAGAATTGTTTTCCTCTATTCTTTTACTTTTTTCTTTTTGTATCCTTATCCCTCTTCACAGTATAGCGTATTAATTTGTTTTTTGAATCATTAGTGGCTTTGGTTATCTATTAATGATTTTTATTCATCAATTTATGCGAATAAACGCTGTCCAAATTTTCAGTTATATCACCAATTACTAGATAACACACAAAATCATACAATTATTGTCTAAACTACTCATGTTGGATGAATAGTTATCATAAACTTAGTTTTCAAAATTTGAATTCAGTTAAAGTGATTACTTGTATTACTATTAAAGTCTTCCTTATTCTTTATTACTTTCTTTCTCATCAATAAGAGTGCAAAAGTTGAATCTTTTTGATTTTCTGATTAGTTTAACTGTCATATTCATCGAACTTAATTAAGATATTAATAAATCTGATTTATTAATCTCAACATGAGACACTTAAATTATAATAAATCTTATTTTTTTTATGTTTTTGCACATCCTTATTAAATAGATGTTGATTAAAAAACATCAACCATTATTCTATAACTATTTCATAGGTATCAATTAATAGCCAATGAATTATTACTTAATAAATTCTAAAAATTTAAATTTTGATTAGAGTGATTCCTTTAATTTACTTCTTCCAATTTATATCTGCCTATCCTTTGAATACTTCTATTTTAATTGTAACTATTTCTCTTAATAGACATATCAGAAACTAAGAATCTTTCTAACATTAAATCAATGCAAATAATAATTAAAGGTTTAATAACAATTATAATACTTTATAATATTAAAATAAAATTAAATTGAATTGAAATATCTTTTTTCTTAAAAATCCTAAAGTACAATAAAACAGAATTTATTTTTTGATTCCTATCCTAAGTTTTATGAATCTTGAAATGATAAATGAAAATTAATTCTTATAGACATATATATTAAAGTTCATCAAGTTATATAATAACTTATTCTAAAGAAAAAGCAATATCGCCAATTTTTAGATTTAAATAGACAAAGCTATTCAATAAAATAGTAAAAACGACAATATCTTTTAAATATTATTTAAGGTATTATTGTTGTTTATATTTTAATTAGATTTATTTAACCATTTTGGTTAAATAAAAAAACTCAAAAAGATTATTTTCATTTTAAGAAAGCATAGCTATAATTATAATGTTAGACCTATGTTAATTATTCTTATACTTTTTAAAAACAATAATATCTAATAGTAGAAGAGATGGAAAAATTATACCATCTTTTTTATATATATATATGATTAAATGAACTCTTATTTAATAAGAGTATTGTTTATATTTAAGAACAAATTATAAATAGTTTATAGTAATCCTTAAAAAAAATCAATACAGAAAAATGAGTATTTAAATTAATAATAGGAAGAGACAAATTGTATTTATTAATTACATATTAATAATAAAAAATTTATACAATTATTGAATATACATGAAACTTAATGAATGCTCAATCAAAGAGTCCTCCCATATCAACATCTTCTTCTGGTTCTTCAACCTTCTTAGGTGGTTCAGCTTTTGGTGCTGGAGCTGTTTAAGCAGTGGATGTTGCTTATGGTGCAGGGGCAGAGCTTTATGCTTAATTATTATAAATTATAATTACATGCTCCTCCTCCTACTGATAAACTTGTCAATTGCTTTTACCCTTCTTTAATAACATCATTCAAATTTTTTCCTTTTAATGTATTGACTACATTTTTAACATCTGCAGCAACTGGTTCAACTCCAGCTTCTTTAAGTAATTTTGTAACATCATCCTCAGCTAAATATTTATGATTAGTAATACTTGGGGCATTGTTTCCTCCTAAAACGAGTAAAGCATAAGCAGCAATGTACTTCATTAATACAATTATTTAAAAATTATTTTTAAATAAGATGCCAAAAGATTATTCTTTATTTATAATCCTTTCTTAATTTCACAAAATATAATGTAATTATTAATATATATATTTATTTTGCCTTCTATGGGTTGGTTTTAGAATTATTAAATGAAGTAATATTCTAAAGAAATAAAAGCAATAATTAATTTTTCATTTTCATTTTTTTTAAGTAAATAGAAACATTTAGGCATTATATATATTGATTTTGCTATTGAATTATAAAATAATTTATCTTTAAAGCAATAATATAAAAATTAATTAATTATTTTATGTAAATTGAAAAATTCTTTCAAGGATGTTTGCAAATCATTTTAAATCAAATCCCAAATAAAGATAATTAAACTTTCTATTAGATTTATTTTTTTAATTTCTTATATATTTTTAAGTTAATAGTCAATTAAACATAGATTTAATGAAAATAATCCTCTAAAAAAAAGAAGATACTCAAATTTAAAACTACTATATAGTATAATAGTACTGGATGTTATATTTTTCATATTAAGAGATTGTAATAAATATTATGTTAAAATAAGTTATTTTTCTAATTTTTGTTAATCTCTATGAGCTAATAGAATAGAACATATTTGCTTAAAAAATATTATTGGATATTTAGAATCTAAATAATATTAAATTAAATAATTTATTTGAAAAACTAGATCATGTTAAAATATAATTATTTAATTGAACTGTGATAAGTTTGAATAAAAAGCTGTATTTGGTTTAGAAAATGAAATTTTATTTTCCTGAATATCTTGAAGAAAACTGAAGGAATCATTAATACTATTTAAAAACTCAGTAAGACATTATAGATATACTATTTTACTGAATTGATTAGTAAAAGTTTGATTAATAAAACTCCTTAAAAAAATGTTATTTAATATTTTAGATATAATTTTATATAACTCATTAGATTAAATGCTATTTAGATACTGGAAAATTATTAAGCAATGTCTCATATAATTGATCTTAACAATATTAATTAAAATATAATTAAGCTATCTTTATTACTTAATATTTATATGTATATATAACTGGATTTAGTGTATTTCTAATTTATATTTTTATATCTTATTATTGGATGAAAAGAATGAATAACTTTAAACAATTTGATTCAGTTAAACAATTATTCAATATGATATTTTAATAGAACCAAAGACTATTAAGCTAACTCAAATAATTTTGAATTAATTAATAATAACTACATAATTTAATACAACTTGTTTTAAACATTTATTAATCTAAATAAATAAATCTTTCTTCAACCAATTGTTATTCCTTTTCCTGTAAAGGCAGAGTTTTTTATGGCAGGGGTCTATTAGTTTCTTTCATTTTATTGTAGAGGTCTCCCTTTATGTAAATTAATCCATACTTTCAGGATCTTCAACTATATAGTCTTTCTCAATTTCCAAAGCCATAAATTCTCTATAAGCCAGAAACACAATATATTGGGCAAAAATGTAGAAGAAAAGTGTTGTCAAATGTAAAATTCCTAGAATCTTTTCAGTTCCTGTTTCACCAAATATGGGTAATTCATTCTAAAAACGAGTAGCAAAATATAGCCCTTTTAATAAAATCTTGGGTAATTATAATGAATACATTATATAAAGTAATAACAATGTAAATAAGGCATTGACAACTTCCTAAAGAAGACCAAGCAGACCATAATAAGATTATAAAGAAAATTTCAAATAGTTCTCCTAATTTGAATGAGACCACTTATCTGGCAAATAATAATGCCAATTATATAAAAGCAATCAATTATAATTGAAAAACTGATCTCTTTCCTTAAAAAGTATTTGGTTTTTTATTGTCAAAAGGTAAACACATTTGAATATTATTTATAATATATTTAAATAAAAGAAATTCAATTTCCTATTCTATTGGCATTAACTCCAAATAATGCATATGATTGCAAGTCATTTTATTTTTTACCACCATTATACTGAAGTGCTTCTTAATCTCCATTTTAGTCATTTTAAAGTAGATCCTAAACTAAAATGGATAAAATACATTATCCTTTGCTTTTCTCATTTAAAAGTATTTTTTTTTAATGTCTTATAAGTCTCCCTTAATTCTATCAATTTCAAATTTAAGCATATCGACCTTTCTTTAAGCTATACTTTTACATAATCTTAACTTTGCTTTAATTAACTTAATGTTATCTTCATTTTAGTTGTATTTTCTTTTAAGGATTCCTTATATTGAGCAAGTTATTAGTGTATTTCAACACCTGGTTATCTTGATAATATATTTTTCAGTTCCATAAACAATTTTTCCTTTTCTTTAATTAAATTTTCTTTTTCATTTACTTCTTCAGTTTTAGCTATTAATCTTCTTTACAATGTTTAAATCTTTAGAATTCTCTCAAATTTTTCTTAGTCTGTTGCTTCAAGTTTTCTCCATCTATGTACATTCATAGGATTTTCTAATTCATCTGATAATGCTTTAACTTTATTCTTTTCATTTAATAATTTCTTTTACAATATATTAATCTCTTTTCTTAATTCATCAATACATGCAGTTTGATCTTAAGTAGACTTTTATTAAAAAAAGAACTTTTACTTTTAATTCATTTTTTAAATTAGTTAATTCAACTTTTAAACTTTTTAATTCAATTTCTCTTTCTCTAAAATTTATTTCCCCTTTACTTAAACTTGATTAATTTTACTTGATCTTCTCATAAAGTAATTACAATTCTTGATTTCTTTTAATTAATTAAGTTCCTAAAATATCTCTTTCATTAACTACCATTTCATAATCCTTTTATTATCTTTATTTTTCTGTTTAAGCTCCTTATATAATATTTTTTAATCTTGAAATATGACTTTCTTAATTTTTAATTAAATCTTCATCAACTTTAATGTTTTTTTCTATTTTAGCTTTATCTTATTCAATTTTTGTATTTTCTTCCTCTACTTTATGAAATTCAAGATCTTCTTTAACAAGTTATTAATCCTTTGTTTTTATTTCTTCTTTCAATTAATCAACCTAATGCTTCATTCTAGTATATTTTTTTGTTAGTTCTTAGATTTCATTATGACTTTCTAATAAATTTTTAGAATATAAATTTCTATCACTTCTGACAGTTTCATATAATTATTATTAATGTTTTAATCTAGCCTCAGCTTCAGCAATTTATTTTTATTATTCAGCTATTTAATTATTTTTTATTTTAACTTCCTCTACTGTCTAGTAAAATTTAGCATGAGCTTATGATGCTTCAATACCATACTTTTCTTATTCTCTTTATAATTATAATATCATTTTATTAATACTTTCATTACTAGCTTCATATCCCATGACTTAATTTTCTACTTTTTTTAATTTATTAATTTTATTAACAATATCTTCATCTGTTTAATGTTAAACATCTTCTTCTTTTTTTAAAGTTTTTTATTATTATGTTCTTAATTTAATTCTTTGACTATTCATCTCATTAATTTTATCTAAAATATCTTTCTTCTACTATAATTCAATTTTTTCAGTTTCAATT